TTAAATTAATATTAAGCTATGCTTTCGAGGAAATCATTTTTCCAGAGCTAACGGAATAACTGGTATAAAGAAAACTTTATTTGACTTAAAAGTATTTAAATGAATCACGACTTGAATCGTGAGAAACATTCATAACGTTATAAATACAAAATCGATGGAATCAGGCGTTCGTCCCGACGCTTACAATCTTCAACTAAAAAGTAATCTTTTATTTTATTTATTAAATATTTACTAAATTTTATTATAAGTTAAATATTTGCTGAAAAATTTTTTTAAACAAATATTTTGTTGTCTTTACTTTCAGAATCAAAATCCCATAAAAACAAAAAATAAAAATATAAGTGCAGTAAAAAGAGTTGACATCAGTTCTGTTGTTTCAAATCATTGGTAATGTTATATTCAACGACAATCAACTCAATCACTACTGTTGGGGCTGAAGGAGTCGCTCGACGGCGGCGTTCACGTCACCGAATGTGGCGATCAGTGCCTGAAGGTTGGCCTCTCTGTTCATGAAACCCATGTTCGCTAACTGTTCCAATTGACTCCTATACCTGTCTTCCGGCGGATTCTGCGGCGAAAACATTTGGGCCATCATTTGCGAGAGCGCCGCCGCACTGTTCACGCTATTGGCGCTGTTCGCTGTGGTGGCGGTCGTCGCACTCGCGTTGGTCGTTCCCCCCGTCCCTCCCGTTCCCGTATTCGTCTCAGAGCTCGGCTGAGATGTCATATTCAATGGATTTGGGATCCTTTCCACACAAAAATAGCACATAATTAATACATTTACAGACAAATATAGCGCATGAATGGGACATACATTCCGAATATATTAGGCGCCACCCGTTGTAACTGTTCCATCCCCTGTTGTATTTGCATCATTGCCTAATAAAACATACAAATCAATGATTAAGTCATTTTCTAACCATTTTCTAATCAAAAGTAGACAAAACCTGAATCGCCTGTGGATTTGAGACAATTGACTGCATTTCCGGGCTCTGCATTTGCTGAACCATTGTAGGCATCATTGTTCTCATCTGTTCCTGCATTTCAGGATTGCCGGCAAAGAACGGATTGTTAGCAATGAGTTGTTGCGCCAGTTCTGGATTCGATGAAATAGTCTGCAAATTATCACATAAATCATTACAATATGAAACATAGAAATTGCATGGCTTTGGGTGAGTACCGAAAGCATGGACTGCATGTAAGGGGCATTCATAGTGTTCTGCATGAGTTGCGGATTATCCATCATTTGCTGCATTAGACTCTGCATACCGGGAGAGGACATAATGCCGGACGCGTTTTGGGATGCATTTGTTGTAGCGGTCGGCGCATCGCTTTGAGTGGTAGAAGTGGGTGATTGGGTTGTTCGGGGGGCCCATGGGTTGGGCAACGGGTCTCTGTTCTCGATTCGCTGCGGATCTGCCATATTGTTGGCGTCAGTAGTGGTGGGAGTAGTGGTAGAGTTGTTAGAGAGGGCAGCGAAAGGGTTACTTCCGAACTGTTCTTGTGCTGCGTTAAGCATTGGTTCCTGAAGTTCGGTATACATGCGTCTCAACGCGTTATAACCGCCGGGAATGCTCTCCAGATTGCTTAGCGCTCTGTCCTGAGTCCGCATCAACTCCTGTAACATCGATGGGTTGCGAACCATTTCCATCGTCTGTCTCAACAGTTCCGGATTATTCAACATATGACTGATCTCTGGATTCCGTTCCATCAGTGTCTGCATTTGAGGGTTTGATGTGAGAAGAGTTCGCACGTAATCCGGATTAGACATCAATTGCTGAACGATCGGGTTTTCCATCATTTGTCTCAACATATCTGGGTTTGACATCATCTGAAATGTACACATATTTTATACAACTTCTGTCCGCATAAATCACATTAAAGTCAATTCATACTTCTGTCTGCATTCGCTGCTGAATATCGTTGAAACTGTTCCCTAAGCCTAAGTTCCCTAACCCTTGAAGACCACCGAAAGGCTGTCCCAAACCAAAAGCATTCGCTCCCATCGACGACATGTTTTCAGCACTATTTTGTGCCGTCTGTTGAGACGACGGTTGCGATGAAGACTACAATCAAATTATTGTCATTAGCTCTCAATATATTTGAGTTATTATTTTGAAACAATACCTGATTTCCTGAACGTATGACCAGATGTACAGTCAGTCCGTCTTTGATTTCTAAATTGTATAAATCAATTGACAATTAATTCAATTCAATACTAAACACGTGCCAAAGAAATGGGAGTAAAAATCTATGTCAATCATAAAGGGGTGGGAAGTATTGAATGAAGACATTTGACACATACTGTGAGTGTCCAACGATTCGTTATCCTTCAGTATCTTTCCGGCAAATATAAGACAGATCTGATCGATGTCTGACTTAAACCTCGTGGCGACCATCTCTTTGAGCTGCAAACAGACACAAAGCCATCAATGAATCAATTCATAAGAAAAGCCAATCAAATAATTCATTGCATATAAAAAACAAACAAAAATTAGTGTTAAATAATTACTACTCAAATGACATATAATTTTATGCAACGAATGGCTCAGAAAATGAAGGAAATATTAATCACAAAAATTATATAATAAATGAAATTGTAATACATTTTAGAGGAAAAAATATAGCATAAAAAAATATATAATAAAAGTATAATAATTATAACTATAACTAAATGGCAATTAAAAGCCCTTTACGGCAACACTAGTGAGTGAGTGGTGTATATGTGTTGACTTGTATTGACTACCTTTTTGATGGACTCATTGTCGTTGATCTCAAAGGTCTCCTTCTCTTTGGCTGTTTTGATGAAAATGCAAATCTTGCGGACGTTTTGGTCAGCAGTGGTGTTGGACTCTTCATCCACGGCTTCAGCCATTTTCGACACAACACTTATAGTCTTATAGTCTGAATATTGAGACAAATATATATACAGTATATATAGCTATTGAGCGCACGATTCACACCAAACAGACAGTGACTGCAATTGATTGCCACAAACGCACCACTCGTTCAGAGCCAACACAAGCCCTACTCATCACAGCATAGCATAGCATAGCGTAACCAAAGCATACGTACGCTTACGTTAGGGAACAACAATTACGACAACAATACACACAGCTTTCGCCCACAACTGCCCCCCACTCTCATCACTGCTCTCTCTCTCTCCGACAGCACCCGTCGGCCACCGCTGGTCACGACTGGCCACCACTCGCTTCAATCACGTTCACCGTCTGGTGTGTCGATTGTGTTGTGTTGAGTGCATATAAACACATGATTTAATGATATTGAGTGTCAAAAATGGGCCAAACAGTGAATTGTGAACATCGGATGAAATTGTGATGCAATCAGTGTTTAAATGTTGAAACCCCTCTTCAGATACACCACTACTCTATTCAATACAACTCTTTATTCAATTAGTTTAAGGAAATTAATTCAATTTGAATTTATTTTTTATTTGACATACAATTGAATATTTTTAATGAAATTTTATTAAATATTTTGTTGTTAACGATTGAATACAATAAGTTAGAGGTGAGCATAAAAAATATTTTAAATTCAATCAATATTCAATCCTATCTTTGAATATATGGTGATTTTTGTTGAGATATAATTAGATATGATTAGTAATTGAATTGAATTTGTATTCAAATATTTAAGATTAAAAATCTATTTATAGTTCACTTGTCGTTGTGATGAATTACTGTATTCAAAGTCTGCTTACGTTAGTATTACTCGACTGATTGACAAATTTTAAATTAAAATTTTTTATACAGCATTCATTAAATAAGTATTTATATGAAAATATTTGTCAAACTATGCATTTATAAGCAATTAATAACAAATACTTAACAATTGTTCGTTAATTGCGGTCTTATCGTCATTTATAACCCACTATAAACTTATTGCTGACGAAATAAACTTTTCAAACTAACTTGTAAAATTAAAATTACAAGTATTGAATTTTGCCAAGTCATTGGTGCAATCATACTGTACTCTCTTACCTCGATTTTATGAACATTTTACTTCTAACAGCCCTTGATTCTATTAAAATCTCGTTTTAATAAACACTTCATTCTCACTCGTACGAGTTAGAATTGAGTGTAATATTCAAGTAAATATTACAATTAAAATACTCTAAAATATAATACTGTACCTATTATATCCACAATATGATAAAATACCATTAAATATAACAGAAATACATTTAAAATGCATAATTAGTCCGGGTCTTACTTATAATAAATGTATAACATTAAATATTTTAATTAACAGCAAGCTTTTATCATAAATATAAAATTAAAATTTTGTTAATTTTAAATATTATAACTGTAATATACATGCATTTATTTATTTTACACGTATAAATTATACATGTAAAATATTTAAATTAAATTAAAAGTTTTATTATTGAGTTTAAGTTAAAATGTTTAACAAAAGTCACAACATCCCATATTATGGTAAATTTAGAGTTAAATAATTAAATATTCTGTTCACACGATTACCGGTAATCCGTATAATCAATGTTTTGGTGGTTATGTAAGTTATATACACTTTAATGATTGGATGTGTTATATTGTGAACAAAACTTATCCATTGTTTGCCGCAAACAGTTTCGGTTCATATTTACACAATAATTGTTAACTTAATTCATTGAACAAACTTTCAATTGAATGAATTGAATCGTTTACTATCTCTTGACACTATATTTACAACATATATAATTCAATAAGGATTTAATTTTTACAAAGAATTGCCTTTTTTTTACTTGAATACCAATTAATTTGATGAATAATCGTTACCTTTTTAATTCAATTAACAATGAGTTATATCCTTTTTCTTGGTAAATAAAATTAACCTCAATTTTTGATAATATGTTAATTAATATGATTTTATTGTTTATTTTACTTAATAA